ATCACATAATTAAATTTTATGTAGCGGATACAAAATTCTTGTATTATAAATTATGATTTAAAATATTTAAATCTACTTCACATAACACCGGTATTTATGTAATTTCTTTTAAAAAATACCAGCACCTTATGAAATACAGTATTTTAAATAGTAGTGGCACTGTCAGAAAAATAATCCAGAAGAACTCATTTGAAAGAATTAAAAAATGTTAACGGAATGTTGATTTATAAAAATTAGCATGAAACCACATTTTAAAGACTAGCTCTTAATTTGGGCCTTGCTCAGGTAGATGATATACTCTGCATACTGTCAGCAATTCAGGACACTAGTATGCAGAGTATTTATGCATATCAGATAGATTTCTAAATGAGATAAGCATGTGAATTTTGTTTGCATTGGGCAAAGAAAGGGTTTTGCACCCTGTAAAACTGTATATATAATTATAGGCTGTCTTGAAAAATTGGCACAATTGGTTCATGAGGCCCAAGATAGCTAGAATAAATTAGTAAATTCTGAGTTTAGTCTGTTCCATGTGTAAGAGTCTTTTTTTTTTCAGAAATGGCTACAAATCATCATTTTAGATAATCTACAATATCCTGACAATTAACTAGCAGGCATTGCTTCTCTCTAGTTCTTGTAAAAAATTAAAATCTGGGTAGTGGATTCTGTTCTAAAGATATAAAACCATGGCAGCATTCAAGAATACATCCAAAAGTTACCTTTTGGCTGTACTATCAATATAATGCTTTTGTTCTGTATTTGTCTTTTCAGCTTGGTTTGTGAATAATAACTGGAATTCCTAAGTGCTCTTAAAAACTTGATGTTTACCAACACAAAATAAGCAATTTAATATAAAATATAGTGTAACAGGCAGGAATGAGGCAGACCACATTGTGTGAACTCCAGATAGGGTATATTATGGCTTTGAAATTCCAAAAGCTGTGTGTATTACTCCATTTATTTTGTTTTTATGACATAAGACTCCCCTGAAGGGAGAGCAGCAGCTTGAAGCAGTGATTTAGTTTATTGTTTGCCTTAGTCCATCATAATATTCAAAATACAATAATTGAAATATATTTTTCATCATTTTTAGACTGTCATCTTAAAACAAGACTTTCTTGCAGCTGGAATTGTGCTTTCTTTTTTCTGCAATGTTAATTATGGAAAAACCAGTGGGAGGGTGTGATTATGAATGTGCATCCATCTTATTGATTTTTTTATATGAACAAAGATGATCGGTACATTAATCACGTGAGTGGACAGCAACATTATGCCATCATTTAAAATAATGGTACAGATCATCTATACTTCAGGTTCCTGATCTATATAATGGAAATACCATATTTTACTTCAAGTGAAAGGCCTTCTAGAAGTACAAAGTATTACAATAATTCAATGTATTGATAATAAAGATAAAACTTTAAAATCGCACTTTAAATTAAGTGCTATGTCTAAACTGTTTATTAGAAAAAGAATAAACATAATTTGTTTTGTGTAAGGAAGAAATCCACATGTAATACTCTACCTTTCCTCTTTTGAACAAAGGTAAAAAGTGTCTATCCTATCATCTTTCCTATCATCTTTCACAAAGCCAGCAGAGTCAGTCTGAATTAGTATTTGCATGAGAGCTGTCCCTAAAACACCTGAATGCTTTATGAAGCAATTTTGATGATACAGGAGATAGCACATTTTCTTGTAGGCCAATACAAAGCATTTCCTTAGCATGTTGTTTGCCAGTATAGAGCTGCTGCAGGCACAGTCTTTCAGATATTAACAATTCCAATTCAGGCAATTGCATTTTGCTTACCTAAATTCCTTCATTGCAATTGGATACAATATTCCTTTTTGTCTTTTGGTTCTGTACTGTTGTATTTTGATGTTTAAACAGTTGCTTTATTTCATCACACCAGTGTCAGGTGAACTACTCTTTGTACATTACGGCTTCAAAGAGATCAAGTAATTAGTATTTGGGAAATGTTTTGAGAATTAATGATGGAAACTGGAACAGATGCATTATTGGGCCTAGATAGTAGTATTCAGGAGCTGAGGCACAGAGTTCACCAGCACTGAATTTCTGGTGATCTTCATTATAGCCCCTTTTTGATATATTTGACAGATTGCACTTCAGCGTTATATTTTTAAGAGAACATGGTGATCTTCAAAGCAGTTTACTTCCATTGATGGCTAAAAGACCTTGCTCAGATTCTGCACTGACTCCCTGTACCCTCCCACTGTCTTCACCTTGTGTAATTTCACTCAGATTCTAGGGTGAAACTAAAGTTTGATTAATTTAAATGCTAAGGAGAGAATGGTCAGAAAATGTGTGCAGAGAGTAAGGCTACGTCTACACTTACAGCAGTATGCAGGTATATAAACTACACACACACCACCAGCACAGGTATAAATAGCATCCTCTCTGCAGCTTTCACCAACACTCCCTTCCTAGGGCTGCGATTTGGGAGGAGAAGTGAAGACTTTTCCTCTGGGCTCCCTCATGCTTTGAGGGAATTGAGAGACTACAATTCCCCTTTCCTTGATTTCACACCCACCAATGGAGGGGGGAGCAAAGGAGGCAATTGCCCAGGAATCCAATAATTTAAAAGCATCTGGGAGGCCATGGTCACTACTGCAGCAGCTCTGCTAATAAACATCACTTGATTGAAAGATGCTTTTATATGCCTCTATGCACACTCTAGGGTGGGGTTATTCAGCCCTGGAACCTACATGGGGTATATCAAAAACATCTTTCAATCAAGAGATTCTGGCTGGCACGACTTTCCCTAAAGCAGATAGGTTGGGTTTAGGTAGGGAGGGGGATAGGACATGGTCAGCCCAGGCTCCTCTGGCAGGCTTGGGGGCACTTGGGGCCTATCCGTGCAGGGGAGGCTTATGGTCCTGGCTGAGGAAGGGAGACAGGGGGCCCATTGATTTCTGCTCTGGTGCCCTGAATTGCTGTGGGATTGCTTGATTTCAACCAGCATTAGAATGGGTGTGAGGGAGCAGAGTCATAGACTCATAGAACTGGAAGGAAGGACAAGAATCTCTCCAGAGGAAGCAGAAGCCTAAAGAGAGAATCAGAGAAAGGACTGGGAAGAAGGTTATTTGGAGAGTGCAGTTGGTATGGAAGTTCAGCCAAAACTAATTGGAGATCAGGGCTTTGTGTGTTTATGGTGAGTAGCTGAGTGCATGGGAGGGGTCTGTTTGAAAGGGATCCAGGACACGTTAAATGGTGTGTCTGGGGTGGAGGAGGGCAAATGAATTTATTTGGTGTCTCTCAGTAACTGGGGAGAAGGAAGTAGATGAACTCACTAAGGAATCTATGTTAATGAGGGAGTCTGTATGGTTTTGGTGTACAGGCAAATAAATTCATTGAGGTGAATTTATGGGGAACAAATTGAGGACATTTTCATATTTATTTGGCATAGCAGAATTGAATCTTTAGGAGGGCAGGATGACAAAGTGAGGGATAGAGAAGAATTTAGAATGAGGAAAAGTGGAGGCAAGCATAGGTATGAAACCAGGGGAAACGTTAAGGTGCAAAGAGAAACTTTACCTGTCTGTACTAGGGGTTGAACTGATATAGCTTCACTGATGGTTCTAAACAAGGCAAATCTTCAGCCTATAAAAAGTGTAACTCGTGTATATATATCTGAAAAATACTGAGAATAGGGAGCTGTCTGTAGAAGTTGGCAGGTATATTACAACACCATTGGTTTGGGAATTGGTAGATTAATTTGCAGTTGGAAATTGCTTTATATGGCACCCTCCTGCTAGTTGTTTTACATATTATAACCTCCTTCTACTCTCTTGGCATATAATATACCCCACTATAGTTCTCTTCCATGAGATTTGTATCTGTTTATTCTAGGCTGTATTTGGAACAATATTTATAGTTACAAATATACATATACTTAGCACAAAACAACCTTCAGCCAAGTTACAAAGCTGTTTCTGCAAGACACATGTTATTCAAAGTAGCAAAATGGACTGAACATAATTTGTAGAAAAAAGATTGCTTCTGTTTGTCAGAAGAGAACATATAAATAGTCATTCAAATAACTATATTTTTTTCACTTTCTAAACCAAAAAAATTGACCATAAAATAATTTGGGGGTGACCTGAGAGGAATTTTTCAAAAACTTTTTGGTAATCTGAAAAATTGGCAGAATTCTGTTTTCGGTCAAACTAAATATTCATTTTAGCTGAAAGAAAATGTTTTGTTTCATTTCATAGTTTTTAAATCTTTTTTCTCACCTATAAAGTCATAGTAAATTTTGAAACAAAAGGACATTTCAAATTTAAAAACATTGAACTGCTTTTGTTAAAAAATAAAGTTAGATTTTTCTTAATATTTTTGTTTTTCTATCTAAAACAATTCAGTAAAACTAGAATTCACAAACTGTTTTAGTCAATATGAATGTGTATTGGTTTAAAAAAGGTTTTGCACAACAAATTTTAACAAACTCTACAAGGAATATATATGTGACTAAAAACTAGATTTAAGTTAACTTTATCATTAGACTTTAAAGAAAGCCTTAAGACAGATTCTAGTTTTATTGTGCTAGATACTAATTCAATCTTACTTCCTTTTAGCAACTGCAGATTCGTTGACTATGAACAGGCCTATCTGGATTCATTTATACATATATTCTAAATTTTAAATGTTGTAGTGTCTGCCCTTGTTCAGACATTAGAAACTGAGCATGTTCTAAAATCTGTATTCTTTTTTCAACCCCTAAAGGAAAAAAGCATGACTTTAAAATGATGCTCTTAAGCAAGCAATTGATGGTACCTTGACAGTTTACCAGTCTATGGTAACAGGCTCTTTATATAACTCTGAACTAAAATAGCTGTACTATATTCATCACATTTATCAGAAACGGTGATTCATCATTATAATATGCCTTTCATATTTCTTCAGTGAATAAGAAACTTTTTTAAAAATGTTTTTGAAATAAAAGATAGTAACTCCCTGGGATTTCTTTTATTGTTGTTTTCAGGGTGCTGGGTGCACTGCACTGGTGGTAGCTGTGGTTGCAAGGAAGTTAGAACTTACCAAAGCTGAAAAACATGTGCATAATTTCATGATGGATACCCAGCTAACTAAAAGAGTAAGTTGTACCTGCAAATCTTCATATTCCCACTGAAAAAGGAATATTGTTTAATGTGTTTTTGTGATTCATTGGGGAAAAAACTAATATTTTCTTTCTTGTACTTACTTACCTATGGCCCTTTTCCTGTAAGGCGCTGGGTGCCTTCTGTGGGTACTGAGTACCTGAACTTCCATTGACGTCAATGGAAGTTGCAGGTTCTCACTCCTAATGAGAATTTGGTGCAATGGCAGTAGATCTGAAGATTCTCATACAGCAGGAAATACTGAAACTGTAAAAAAAAGTTGGAAGGTAACTGAGGTAACTAGCAAAGAACACAATGTTATTCTGAAAGAAGAGCTTATGATGTATTTAACTAGATTGCATTGAGAGCAGCATATGGGAGGGGAAATACAGCATATAGGTAATTCTTGTAGTTCTGTTAGATTATATGCAGTGCTTTTCTTTGTGACGGTACTGCCCAGTATGCAGTACCGGCACCTCTAGACACACCAGCACCTCCAGTCAGAGCTCAATAACTTTTCCCCTGGAGTATTGGCACCTTTTTTTGTTTTGTTTTACAAAAAAAGCACTGATTATATGAATCTAATGAGTGATATAACTTGAAATTCAACATACAGAAATAGAAAGACTGCTGTTTGTAAAAGAACAAGGGAAACTTTCTTACACGTGAGAACATGTTGAAAAACAGGATTTAAAATATTCACAAACTTTTTTGAGTCAAGTCTTTTCTATGGCTTCATTTATTGAACACATGGGGTTACTCAATCAGCCATTTGCAATGGTGTAGCAATCTCATACACCATTAAAATATTTCATGGACAGAAACTAAAAATCAATAAGAAAAATGTGTTAATTAATTGATTAAAGATAGCCATGTCAGAAAATATAAGCATCCTCGCTAAGAAGACAATGAATATATGCAGTTCAGGAAAAATATATGTTATGCACAAGGAACATAAAATGGAGTTCATCCTTACTCATTTGATAAGTCTCTTTCACTAAGGGGAATAGTAATAGAGATGTAGCCGTGTTAGTCTGGTCTAGCTGAAACAAAAGACAGGACTATGCAGCACCTTAAAGACTAACAAGATGGTTTATTAGGTGATGAACTTTCGTGATCTGAGGAAGTGGGTCTGGCTCACGAAAGCTCATCACCTAATAAACCATCTTGTTAGCTTTTAAAGTGCTGCATAGTCCTGTCTCTTGTTTCACTAAAGGGATTATTTATGTGAGAAAAGTGTTCTCAGTCAGACTGGAAGGCTTCTTAGAGAAATAGTAGGAAAAACAACCTAGCAGATTACAAAGAAGGTGGCAGTAGTCACATAGTTATTAAGAAATTGAACCATACCAACCATGAATGTAATAGGGAGAGTTTCTCTTCCCTATCTCCTCTCACTGAGGAGCCAGGTAGGTGAGGTAATATCTTTTATTGGACAAACTTCTGTTGGTGAGAGAGAGAAGCTTTCACCAATAGAAGTTGGTTCAATAAAAGATATTACTTCACTTGCCTTGTTTCTTTGATGCCTTTAACAACGCTTGAAAATCAAGGAAGGAAAATTGATTCATGCAAATTTGCTAGCTCTTGTGATTTTAGCATTTCACTCACCTCTCTTTAATCCCACTCTATCTTCCTTTTCTATCTATTCCTCCAAGCATCAGGTCATTGTAACTTTTAAGTTAGCCTCAGAGCATACTTGTGCTGTGACCTCAACCACTCAGGTAATACAAAGAAAAGCAAACAACCTTCCTATTTCTGAATATTTGTCAGCTCACAAAACAGTAACACAAGAGCTGGATTTTGCCATAAATCACAAACTGTATCCAAAGATAAGGGGAGAGGAAAGACTTCAATCCTACAATGAGGTCCAGTGAGCCTGATTCTGCTTCCACTGAAGTTTGTGGCAAAACACCCATAGAGTACAGCAGTACACAATTTGGACCATTGTCTCTGGGAGCTCCTGCTAATTGCAGATCCAGTTACAGCTCTGCATTGCTCCCTTCTGTATACTATAACTGAACTTGAGTATGGTGGATATAATAGAGGCATACATAAAAAGGAAGAAGAGAGATAAGAGCTATAAATGAATACAGTACTCTATATTTACCTTAGGAAGTATCCTAGCAATTAGAACATTAGTCATCAATACATTGAAATGCTGTGTCCATATTTTTATCTAATTATTGTCAGTACCACACTGGGGGACATCAGAGAGCACAGGAGAACTGAAATATTTATTTATATTAAATAAATAATAATAATATTTCCTGGACTTACATTTTATATTGTGACTATCATTTCATAGAGACCCTCATTTTAGAAAAATACAAAGCAGACATGAATCACCTATTGTAAACATAGCTATGAGGTTTTGGCAATATCTCAGAGGATGTGAAGGGACAAAAAATGGGAAAATCAGAACAAAAGAAAACAATCAGTTATTTGAGCATCTCTTGAGTTTATTACAGAGGAAAGGACTTTTAAATCACTATTAGAAGGGAGAGGAAGAAATCTTAGAAGAAGGAAGTGACCAGACAGGGCAAACTTGTAAAAGGGAAATCCAGTTTTGGTCCTGTACAATGTATCCAGTTAAATACTGGACCTGTAACATTTGTTCCATATAATGTACACCTACTGAGAGCACCAAATGGATATGATTGTCCACCACAGAGGAAACTGTTACAAATAACACTTTTAGAAAAAGCATTGATTTATTAGACAGGCCTCATTGTTTTTGGTCATGTCATTAAATTTCCTCCATTACTGCGGTTGCCTTATACAGCACCCTGAGCCCACAGATAGGACCATAATTGCTTCTGAAAGAGGGTGTGCACCAGAGAAAAGTCAAAGAGACATTAATGCTATTTTTGTGAGCCTGGTATTTTCTTTTATTAAACAGGTGAAAAATGCAGCTGCCAATGTACTCAGGGAAACATGGTTAATTTATAAAAATACAAAGCTGGTTAAAAAGATAGACCATGCAAAAGTAAGGAAACATCAACGCAAATTCTTGCAAGCTATTCATCAGTAAGTACTATTTTGGTTTGGTTTTTCTGTCCAGACTTATCTATCCTCACACAGAACTTTGCTCTGAGTTCTGAATTTTCTCTTTCTCTTAGAATAAAGCAGAATAACATTTTAGAGTAGTGTTTATTTACAAAAGAAATAGTGGCAGCATTGCATGCCCCCTGTATAGCTATGATCTGAATTTTTGTAAAAATTTTCCTGGAAATCTCTATTTGCTTTAAAAGTTAGCATGTAGATTTTTATGTTATTATCAGTAGTTTGTTGTTACTATTGTATGAATTGCTTAAAAGCAGTTGCCTCCTTTTTCACAGAAATGCAGCAAGTTTGTCAGTTTCATTTAAAACAAATATTTTGATAATTTCATGTCAGAATAATCTAGTCACTTTAAAATAGAGGCTACTACCGCAATTAATATTTAGTTAAAAGATAATGGACCAGATGCTGTGCCCCTGAAAGCTGTTCCTGTATTTCAGAGGGGACAAAAATTTAATTGCCTGTATTCAGCTGAGGATTTCCTTGTTATTGGGGAGTCCTTCATAGAGTAACTGGCATAGCTGACTCTTACACTACCACTTGGCATCTGGGCAGGGAGAGAGCATGGCAAGAGCATGCAGTACTCTGGCATTCTTCAGATGGCCCCTGAGAAGTTTTTACTGGCATAATGAATCCCCAGGCTGTCCTGATCTTCACCAGGGGATAAAACCGGTCTGAATGATAAAGACAGAGACCAGATCAGATTCTCTCCTGGGCCCAGTTGTAGTAGTAAGCTGAATCAGCATCATAACATCCATGAAACTCTGCCATGTTCTAAATATATTAGGTCTAAAATTCACAGTAAGCATCATAAAGCAGATCCTCAGCCAGGAGGTTGTAGGGAAGACCAAGACTTCTCCCAATTAGCTTCCACACATCAGCAACTTCTGGGCTTAAAAGCAAAAACATATAGTGCATAGATCATAGTGTTCATCCAACAAACAGATAGTTCCCTGAACTACCTATAATGAAAGGAATTCTGTCCCCAAAATTGCAGATATCAGAGGATTGCTCGAAGGTCTGGCACCTTCACCGACTCTGGGACCTCCTGTTGTCTCCAGCTACATGGCAACCCAGCTAATTGAAGCCTTTGATAACTGACAAGGGCTGAGCTTTGACAACATAGTGAGGAGCTTCCTAAAAGTTAACAATCTCTGGTTGTATTGCACTTTTTTATATTAATTCCACATGCAGGTTAATGTGGGCTCGTGTGTATCCCATGCCCACTCGCCCACCTATAAGCCCTCCAAACTTTGCATGTGATCCAAGCCACCAGAAGGGATGATGCTGGCTGGCTCACATATTGACTCTCACCGCTCAGGTGGGCATCTGCAGGATGTGGATGTAGGGACTGCGAGCACAATCGGGCCCTTAATTTTCTCATCTATAAATTGGGGATAATATTTACCTCCCTTCAGATGAGTTAAAGTTTGTGCAGTGCTTTGAAGGGTTTTAAGTATTCTACAGACACTGCATGTTGGTTCCTTTTAGCAAAGTTGCAAGTTTAAAAGTAGACCTGTTGCCATCCTGCGTACTAAGGAGGGGTGGTGAGGCAGCGAGGTGTGCACGCACATTTTACATCTGTCCTTTGACCATATTAGGGATGTTAAATCCTGTTTAAATTGGATAACTGTTTAAACATAATGTTTAATTGATTAAAGGGGAGACAGGGATTGCTGTGGCCAGCTGGAGTACCACTGTCTGCGGCAGATCCCACAGCGCTGGGGGGAGCAGCCCTTTGCCTGTGGCAAGTGGAGAGCTGCCCCAGCCCCAACCAATTAACTCGGGATGGGTAAAGGGCCCTGCACGGGTCAGATTCAGTCCACCAAGCCAGAAGATCCAGCCCATGGCCACTCTGCCACTCCCAGGCAAATTAGGGGCTGGGGGCAGGGAGCACACAAAGTCTCTCATGTCCTGTCCCCACCCTGCCAGGGGTGCACAGCAGATAGACAGACATGCTGGCTGTTTTAAAACTGACAGTGTGTCTCTAGCTGCCGTGCACTCTTGCGCTGTGTGCCCCTTTCAGGATGGGGCAGGGCCACTAAAGAAATTTCTGAAGTAGCCCCCCTTTTAAAAATTATTGCCCACCCCTGGATTAAGCAGTACCTGTAACTGGTTAACCATTCAGATCCATAGACCACATAGGATCTTCCTTCATTTTAACTTTGCCATATATTTTGCGTGTGACTGTGTGAGTGCAAACGTGAATTTAAAATTAAAAGCCCATCTGACTCAATCTCCGGCTTTACACACCATTTGGAACCCAAAAGAGGTGCGCAGGTTGTAGATATTTTTTCTGCACCTGCCTTAAGTATTCAACAGTCAGTTGAGTTGGTGTGCAGTGGTCATTTTTTCTAGTGATGGCAATCCATGGTCCTGAGAGCTCATGCTAATGAGTTGCCCTTTGCCCTACAGCATTTTACTTCTGATTCAGAAAGGTATTTGCATTTTATCTTGTGTGTTAGCAAAAGATTGGAGAGCCTCCTCTGTGCGGGCAGTGATAACCTATTAGGAGTATACCTCCAGAATTCTGGTTCTTTTATTTATTTATGTATTTATTTTAGTCAGAGTACCTGGGGGTCAATGAAATGTTTTGGGTTTGGTTTTCTTCTTTTTGATTCATGGCAACATATCCCTTATCCATCTTTATTCTGGGTTAGTTTTTAATTTTTTTAAGACATTCTCTTGTTCCACCACAAATTGTTGGCCTATTTTCAGGAATCAGTAGCTGAAGGTTATGGCCTGTGTAGTACAAGAGGTCAGAGTAAATGCTCCTTTCTGACCCGTAAAAAACTTCAAAATACATGAAATTGTTTCTGGCTCTGCCTTTCAGCAACTCGTGGTCCTTTTTCCTCATGCAAATTAAATGGGTCGGGAGTGGGAAGAAGCACAAGAATTATTAATCATAATAAGCGGCATAGTCTGTATGGACAAGGAAAAGTCATGGGTCACTGGTAGGCATAAAGGACAATGGGAAAGAAATGCAAGGCCTAATGACGTGTAACACTGTTACAAACCCTATCGCTATTGTGCAAACAAATCAGGCTTAACCCATGGCTATTGCTGATCTATAGAAGCCAACCGTGAAACCATGGGATCCGCTGAATTGAATCCACTGTGTATGTGTGAACACAACCCCCTGTGTTGGTTCTAGTATATTTTACAGATTGTTTTCTTTTGTTTTGTCTTTTTATTTCAACAAAATGAAAATAGAGCTCGGAAGTAAGTTGTATGAGCTGTTCCTTTCAAATTTGCAGAGTTTACCACTGTCTGCATGCAACAAATAGATTCTTTATTTGTGAATTTACTGGTCTGATTGCTGCCGTGGAAATGTGATCCAAAATCATGATCTTTGCTGTGATAAGTGAAGTTCATAAGGAAGGAACGGGAATATCTGTATTTTAAGAAAAAAAATATGCCAACTTCCTTTTAATCTGGCTGTTGCAGCTAAAGAATGATCTTTATGTAATAGATGTACCTTTGCAGCTCCTGGGCCAAATTGTTGTGTTGATTTACACACTGCTATCTGACTGTTGTCAGATGGTATTTCTGCTGTTCCATTATCCATGGAATTGAATGGGCTTTAAGTCAGCACAAAGATTAGTTTAGTGTGCTACAGTGTAAAGAATTGGCAATTGGATTGTCCACAAATATAGTGTTTTAAGATAGAAAATAAAATGTACGTACCTTTTCAATTGTGTGAATAAATTTCCAACAAAATACTAAGGATATAATTCAGTCAAATCTGTACATGCTTATCTCTGAAAAGTATCTTGAGTGAGTATGTTCTGGGCTATAATGCTTATCTCACGTTCTTCGGGAATTTTCCATACTCCAAAGTGCTTAGCTACAACTCTGTGCATCAATGGAAGATGATCAAGATTTGAGTTTGCCCCAAAAAAGGGAAGCTAGCCAGCACACTAAATAAATGTCTGTCATCTGAAAACAATTGATTACTAACTTAGAAACAGAAAATTTTCTGTGGGATATTTTACTCTTCACAGCTTTCTTTAAGGCATGAAGTTGAAAGTCAAAATGTTTCTACAAATTAATTCTTTAATGTAAATATTCAAATACAAACTTCATCTGATAGCTTCTTGTGGATTTTGGAAATTCCTGAAGTACTTTGGTAACATAAAAATTCCAACTTGAGACACGGAATAAACCTTCCAGATCCTATATGTTTCATATTATTTTAATAGCAACTGAAGTCACTTTCCTGAGTTCACTTGAAATTTCCAAAACATAAGAACTGCCATTGAAGAGAAATCTATTCCCTAATTATGCATACATATCTAGCATACTAGTTGCAGTGCATGATACTTCTGCATTTGTATCATGTGGTATGACTTTTTTTTAAATAGTGTTTTCCTTTAAAAATATCCATTAGGACTCTTTGGGGTGTGTCTAGACTACAGGGTTTTTTCGACAAGTTGGCTTTTGTCGAAAAAAAATATACCTGCGTCTACACTACCACCACGTTCTGGCGACAGTAAGTCAACAGAATTCAGCAGTTTTGTCAACAGCGGTAAACCTCATTTTGCGAGGAATAATGCCATTTTTCGAAAGTAGTCTTTCGAAAAAAGGCGCTATTGCATGTAAACTGCTTTTTCGAAAGAGAGCGTCTAGACTCTCTCTTTCGAAAAAGTGTCTTGCTTTTTCGACAATACTGATCATAATCTAGATGATCTTTTTCAACAGAGGCTTTGTCGACAGTATTTGTCGACAAAGCCTCTGTCGAAAAAGGCGTGCAGTCTAGCCTTGATGTGGCTAAAGTAACCCAATTTCTGCTTGTCAGCTAGAATGAAACACCTTAGCAAACAATTCTCACTTAAATGATTAAATTATCATAAACCTTCTGTGGATGAGTATATCTGCAAACCACTCCCATAGCTTGATCTGGAAACCCGAATCTGTGGCAGGGAAGAATGTAGAAAAGTTTTGTAGCCTTGGTCATATGGAGAGATCAGCTCAACAATAGAATTAACTGCAAAAATCCCACCGATGGTAGAATTTTGCCCTTAGAGCAGGGATGGGGAACCCATGGCCCACCTCACAGCTTGCCTTGACCAAGCCTGAGAGACTCGGGGCTTCCCAGTGCAGCAAGCCGGCACTGACATTCCAGATCTGTGGGGAGTCTCAAGTGTTGGTCCCCCTGCATGGCTGGAATGCCAGCACTGGCTCCCAGCTGTCAGGGGGAGGAGTCCC